ACTCGGGTTTACGGCGGAATGCGTCGACATCGACGCCGTCTGTAAACTCCCTATCGACTCTATGCTCAAAGCCTCGACGCGCAGGAGTTGGCAACTTTTGCTGGACCGATGGCATCCGCTCGATCACGCTGCGCAATCCTTCCACCACACTTTCTACTTTGGACAAGAGACCTTTCAGTAGTCAGGAGCGTTGAGCTCGGAGCTGCTCATCGACAGCATCGCACCAAGACGCTGCATGGGTGCGGCCTTTCTGCGATCTTGCATTTGTCGCGATCGCTGATTGGCTGAAAAGTCGTCGAAATGCCACTCGAGCGCTTGACGCCGGACCTCGTCCGCGAGATCGCGGCCGAGTACCCGACCTTGAGCAACCTCAACCTATCGCGCAATGAGATCCGCGCGATCGACTGCGACGTCTCGGCGCTGGCGTACGTGAGCCGCCTGAACCTGAGCCACAACCAGCTCACGTGCCTGCCACCGACGCTGCCCCGCCAGCTGCCGCAGCTCGCGCACCTCCTCCTCGCGCACAACCGCATGTACGCCGTGGCCGAACGAGCGCTCTGATCTAGCAACTTTGTAGTCAGTCTCTCGAGTGGCTGCAGTCGGCAACCAAGTTGACCAAGCTCGATCTCGCGTACAACGACCTCCAGCACATCGACCAGCTCGACGCGCTCCGTGGACTGCCGCTCCTGACGCACTTGACACTCGAGGTAGCAACATGAGTAGCTCGTACTAAACGCATCAGCATTGCGCGTAGGGCAACTTCCGCCTCGACGAGTCGCCCAAGTACCGTGTGGCCGTCGCGACAAAGTTGCCGCAATTAACGACGCTTGATGACACGTACAGTCCTCTGCGAGCAGCTAACATGATAACACTTTGTACATAGACCTTTAACGGACGAGGAGAAGGACGCAGGAAGACAAGCACGCGAGCCAGCCGAGGCCCCGAGCTACCGCCCGACGTTGCGCCAACCCGAGCCAACGTCCTTGACGAGTCCAAATGTCAAGCCCGTCCCGCTGGCCATTAAACCATCCAACGAGACGATCGCTTTGCTCGAGGACCGAGTGTCTGCGCTCCAAGAAGTGCTTCGACTCCAAGAATCGCACGTCGTTGCTACTACAACTGGGCCCGCGTCGGCGCCGACGTACGAGCGACTCCTCACGCAGTGGCGCACCAAGGTCTTCGAGCTCCTTGTGGCTGCCAAACGGTCCGAGGCGCTTCAATATACCGTGCAGCAGCGTGTTTCGAGCCAGCACCTCTCGATCGAGGTAGCTACCAACTGACCTTCGAATACGCAGAACCGTTCCTCTAGTCGCAGCTGGCGCACACGACGCAGCAAAACCAAGCGTTGGAGCAGCGCTTGGTGGATGCCCGCGCCGCCATCAAGCTCCATGAGCTCCAGACGTCGCAGCTGCGGCAAGAGAAGGCGCTCACCGAAGCCAAGCTGGCGAAAACGGTCTCGCGGCTCCAAGACGAGCGCGCCCACTTGCGAGCGACGAGCCACGCTGTCTTGGCCTTGCACCAGGTATCTACTATGTACGAGCGCCATTGCCTGTAGCTTTGGTAGGACGACGGTTTGGTGACGCAGCTGGAGCATGCGTTCACGCGCTTGCACGAGTTCAACGAACGACTGGAACGGCTTCTGCGGACGGTTGAGCTCGCGTTGGTCGCGCTCCAGCGTCAGTATGTGCGCCTGCGCAACCAGCAAGCAGCCATCGAAGCGGACAAGCGGGTGTGGATCAAGCGGCTCCAGAAGCGCCCTCGCGCCGCCACGGATGAGCTTACGCTGCAGCCCGTGCGACTCCGCAACAGCATGGAGGAGGTCCTCCGCGCCGCGTTCCGCCGCCTCGATCCGTACGACACGGGCTTGGTGCACGCGGCCAAGTACCTGCAAACCATCAAGTACGTCATTTAGAGTTGCAGAGTCTCGAGGATGCGATCGCAGAGGTAGGCGCGACGTCTGCGTGCGCAACACCGTCGGTGGCCCCGCGGTCCTCGCGCAACTCACCGAGCAAATGGAGACGGCGCTGGTGAAGCTGTATCCGACGTCGCATGCGACCGTGCACTGGACGTGGGGCGAGTTCCTCCTGGTGTTTCTACCCGACCTCTCGGACGCGCCGGCGCCACTGCCCAACGTCGCTATGGTGGATGACGTGCCTGTTGCCTTTGACGAGACAAGTCACGATGACGTGGTCCGTAAACCGACGGTTGATTTTAGCGCGTGGCCGCGTGACGCGCTGGAAGCGCACGCGCGTCAGCTCGAAAACGAGCGCGCCTTTCTCGTGGCTCGCCTTCAGGTTCGCGCGCACGACGTTCGATGACGCTCAGACGAGGCATGTAGGAAGATGCGCGGGAGCTCCAAGGACGCGTCGTCAAGGTGCAGTGCCAGTGGCAAGCCAAGACGGACGATCTTGCACGAGCTTTGGCGGCGCTCAAGGTCGCCGCGTTGCGATATTATGGTGCGAACCTGAAGTTTGATGTAGACAACGATGCAAGAGTCCGAGACGACGCGCGTCTTTCGTGAGACAGAGCTCGCTCAGGTCAAGGCGGAGCTTGCGCAACTCCACGCCACACATGCCGACCAAGTGCGCGAGCTTGAGGCGCAGTGTTCTAACCAGCGCATCGAATGGGACCGTCGCGTGGCCGAGAAAGATGCGCTGCTTCGAAAGATGCAGAGCGACCATTTGCTCGAGATACAGGTGCGCCCGAGCTCAAGACGCGCGCACTTCATCGCCATCTATTAGGACCGTCTCGACCAAGTGCGCACGATGCAGAAGGACAATACGAAGCAGGAGCTGCACATTCGCCAGCTCGAGCGGCAGTGGGCCCGCGCCCAAGACCAAGCCGAGGCCAACGAGTCGGCCAAAGTCGAGTCTCTGACGCGCAAGTTGGAAAAGCGGTGCGGTCTCGCGCATCTCACCAAGTCGTCACACGAGTATAGAGAGGCCGAGCTCATGAAGGTGCGGCGGGAACGCAACGCGTTGCTGGCGACGCTGCGGGACCAGGTGCGGTGACACGCATTGCTCGTCGATTCAAGCAGCTGCGTAGGAGAAGAAGCCGCGTCCTCGCTCGATCGAGATCGAGCCCGCAACCCCGCGCACCAACAGTGCTAGCGAGCGCCTACAGCCCCAACCACCCCAAGAAATGGTGGCCGATGCGCCGATTGCGAGTCGCTTGGAAGCGCTGTCGAGCATGGCCAAGTCCTGGCTCACGAGCGACGACGACGATGATGCCATCTTCAGCGGCCCCGAGGTCTAAGAAGCATAAAGGAAGCTGCTCTTCGCCTCGTGCCAGTCACCTACAAAGGCAAGCACCACCCTCGCTCACACCATTAGCCGTCCATTCCGACATGCATGGCGAGGGAACTCGTATGCTAGGATCGTTCGATTATATTTCAATGTCTCGGCGCTGCGGTGGCCGAATGTGACGCATCGTAGAGCCTGTGAGCGTGGGTTTGAACGGCGCCGCGCCACCGTACGGCTTGGGAATGCCGAGTTCGTCTGGCACATAGGCGTTCGGGCGCGGCTCGGCTGTCGTGCGCGTGATCTGCGACGGGACGAGCAGCGGTGTGAGCGCGCGGCGGTCGTCGCGGGCCAATCGCGCGGCCTCGAGTCGGTACCACTCGTGCTCGCACTGCGTGTTGGGCGCCCGCCCGTTCTCAAAGTTCCACTTCGCTTCGTCGAAAGCCGCTTCGTGGTCGTGCTTTTCTTGCTGGAGCTTCATGGCGGTGGCTTGAAACATGGAGAGTTCGGAGACGGTCGCCATCATCTTGCGCGTCGTCTCCTTGATCTTGACCTGGAACGTGTTGACCTTCTTGGCGAGCTGGAGCGTGTCGCCGCGGCCGTCCGCCGCCTGCGCGCGCAGCTTGTCCGAGAGGTTGGTGACCTCCTCGAGCACGAGCTCCTTCTCGAGCAGCATTTCCTTCTTGAGGTTGAACCGATCTTCAAGGAACGCGAGTTTGGCGCTGAGCTGCTCCTCGTCCGGGTCGTCACCGTCGAGGGGTCGCCACCGCTCGGCGTTCTTGGGCGTCTCGAGGTCGCGGCACATCATCTCGGTCACGATCCGCTCTTGCTTGAGCTCGTGCTGGATCGAGAGGACCTTGCTCGCGTACTCTGGCACGAGCGGCACTTTCTTGCGAATCGTTTCAATCTGCCGCTCCATGTCGAGGAGCTTGATATGGAGCATGCGGCTCTGCTGCTCCTTCTCCTGGATCGCGAGCTCACCGTCCGTGAGCGTCTTGGCCTGGATGTTGCATTTCTCATACAAAATGCAGAGCTCGTCGTTGCGGTCAATGAGCTGGACGCCGGTCGAGTTGCGCGCTTCGACCGCGATCTCGTACTGCTTTTTGAGCCGGAGCATGTCCTTCTCGGTGACGTTGATGATCGAGTTGAGTTTGTCGATCTGGACGATTTGCTGCTCGACTTGCTCTTGCTTGATGCGGTAGAGCTCGTGGCATTTGTTCGTGTCGAGGCGAAGGCTGTCGCGGCTGCATTGCGCGGTTTGGTGTGCGAGCCGCTCTTTCGTGAGCGCCTTGTCTTTGGCCACACTCTCGTTCCGGAGCACTTCGACCTCGTTGTGCAGAATTTTGATTTTCTCCTTCATCTCGGCCAGCGCTTGGGAGCTCGCTTGGATCAAATTCACATACTTGTTGCGCTCGTTCTTGACAATGTCGTAAAGCGCCGAGAACTCTTTGAGGCGGTTGTTGGTCTCGTTGCACTTTTTCGCAAAGTCGAGGATCACGAGCTCCTTCATCTTGAGCTCTTGCTGCGTCGCCTTTTCATTGTCGATCGCGGTCGACGCGGCGCGCGCCTTCATCTCGCGCTGGGCGCTGAGGAGCGCGAGGATTTTGGTCTGCTTGGCCTCCTCTGCGACCCACTGACCGAGCTCGGTCTCGTAGTCCTTGACGCGCTGCGAGAGCGATTGGAGCTCATCGACCTTGGCTTTCTCGATCGTATCGAGCTTGAAGAGGCGCGCAATGAGCACGTCGACGTCTTGCTTGAGGTCGACGTGGTCGGCGGCCATCTTTTTGTTTTCAGCTTGGATCGCACGCACTTGGTGCTCGGCGTCCGTCACTTGCACTTCGAGGTTGGGCAAGAGGCTCTTGGCGCTATCGACTTGGACGGTTTTCTTCTTGAGCGTCTTCTTGAGCCGGTCAAACTCTTTGATAAGCGAGCTCTGCCTGTCCGTCTCGCGCCGACTCGTCATCTCAGCGCTGCGTAGCGCAAGATCGAGGCGCGCACGATCGCCAAGACGCGTCGCGTGCGTCTGCCGCTCGTCGGTAAGGAGCAAGCTCACGTGGTCGACGTCGCGCTGGCGCTGGTCGATCGTATCGCGGTGCACGTCGAGCTTGTGGTTGAGCTCTTTCTGCACTTCGTCGGCCTCCTTGCGCTTCTCGTCCTGGGTCGTGCACTGCGTGTTGACGACACTTAGTCGATCTTGAATCCGCTTGATCTCGTGCTCGAGGTTCTCGACCGCCTTTGCCACGACGTCAGCTTGCTTCGAGATGCGCTCGGGGTCGCCCCGGAGCTTGGCGAGCACTTTTTTCTCTGCGTTGTTGGCCGCATCGAGCGCATCGTTGGCGACCCGCAAGCTCTCGCAGCGCGCGACCAAGTCGTTCTTGCGCCGCTCTTCCTTGTGGATGTCGGCCGAGATATGCGCAGCCTCGTCCCCGAGCCGCGCGATCTCGTCCGTCATCTTGCGCACTTCGGGCTCGACCTGGCGCGCGTTCTCGGCGAGCATGTCCTCCTTGCGCGTGAGGAGCTCAGCGTGCTCGCGCTGGAGCTCGGTGATCTCGTACGTCAAGATCGTCTCGCGGTCGACGCAGTCGGCGAGCTCCTTGCTGGCTTTTTCCTTTTCTTTCTCCAAATTGGAGTTCATTGCGAGCTCCTCGCTCTTGCGAATGCTCTGCTTCTCGAGTCGGATCTTCTCTGAGAGGAGCTCGCCGTTGAGCTGCTTGGCCTTCTTGAGCAACTCCTTCTCGCGCTTGTAGGTTTCCAGCACATACGACGAGAGCTTGGTGTACTTGTCCTTGTAAGTAGCTGCTTGCATGGGCGTGAGCATTCCATCCTCGACGTACTGGTCGAGTAAATGCAGCGCCGCGCTGTTCGAGTTGTGCACCGCGGTCCCGTCGACGTCGGGCGCGGCGACCGCGTCCGCCATGCTTGAAACTGGCCCGAAACGATAACGATTTATATATATGTATTGACTAACTAGGGTCCTCGTTCACTACATCTATAATGCGCCAACTTGGTCGTCGAGCAGCGGGCTTCGTTTGTCCCCGCCACCACGCTTCTACTAACGTTAGTTGTTGGCAGAAGGTGGCGACGCACTCGCCCGAGTCAGAGCTGGCAGACATGGAGCTTTGGGCCTTGGGCAAATCGTGCATATTACAATAGAGTACTTCAGTGATTCTTCTCTCACAATGCGATGGCAGTGGTCGCTTTGGAGCGCGAGCACCAAGCTCGTCTCTGTCGCTAGTGCGGCCAGGTGCACCGATGACAGCGCTGGCATCGTCAAGTCATTTCGCGCCAAAGGAAATGTGGTACGAATAAGCAAACAAGGGACGACTTTGAAGGCTATCTATTCGCACGCCCACAAAGCCTCTACGTTGACAACATCGTACGTTCTTTTCTATGTAAAGTGCAGTGTTTATAGCCTTCTAATTGACGCCGAATTGCGTGTGGCTTTTTTCACGCATTTTGCACAGGCTTTTGGACCGCATGGCGGCAAATGGAGTGTTGGAACGGCGTGCGATTAGACAATGGAGACTAGAGGGGGCGACGCAACATTTGGAGTTTGTATGCTCTGTCGTGGGGCGGATCTTTTGGGTGAGGGTATTCTGTGACGTGCGTCGAAGAGGACGAAGGGCAGCAGCATGGAAGGGGACGCGGTCGAGAGCGTCGCCATCGAGCATGAGATGGAGACGGCCTTCCTCGCGCAGCTCGTCCTGGACATCAGCACCTCCTTCTTCCAGGTCGGGAAGCACATGAGCCTCCGGGGCGACGACGGCGCCTACAACGAGGCCGACGCCGACGCCTTTGGGCTGGACGCGGAGACGCTTCGCCACTTCATCACGGACCCAGCAATCCGCGTGCTCCGTGTGCTCTGCCGGGACAGCGGCGATGGCGTCAAGCTCTCGCTCGAGACAGGTGAGAAAGAGAAGCCCAAGGCCAAGCGCCAGAAGGTCCCGACGTTTTGCCTCATCAAGACGCTCAAGACGCGCGACAAGCTCACGCGCGACGGGTCGGTCAACTCGCAGCTGCAGCTCGTGACGCTGGGCACCGAGGACATTGGCACGCTCGTGACCTTTGTGCAGCACTCGTTTGCGCCGCTTCTGCAAGCCCACGAAGGCCAAGAAGACGACGGCGGCCAAAGCCACAGCAAGCGCATGCCGCTCATTCGGAAGCGTCTCAAGGAGCTCGAGGTCGCGATGGTCCAGTTCCAAAACAATGTCGAGATCCCCGACGTCGACTTAAAGATCCACCCCGACATCCAACTCGCTGCTGATAAGCTCCGCGACTCCAAGCAGATGGGCAGCATTGACGTCGACGCGCTCGGGTTCTCGGATCGGCTCAACGACACGGCGTTCCTCAACGACATTCAAGCTGGCGTCAACCTCTGGATCAAGGAAATCCAAAAGGTCACGAGCCTCGTCAACGAGCCCGTGGGTGGCTCGGCGACGCAAGAGATCAACTTTTGGAGCGACTTGCATCGCGCGCTGCTCGCGACGCAGAAGAAGCTCACGTCGCCCGAGGTGGAAATCACGCTTGCGATCTTGAAGCAGGCGAAGCGGTACCTCGTCACAGTGACGTTCGCGGCCGACCACGGTCTTGGCCCGGCGCTCAAGACGGTGTCGAGCGTCATGAACCTTATGAAGGACTTTTCGCTCAACGCGATTCTCTCGGCCACCGACATTCCGCAGACGACGGCGGGCATCAACACCGTGTTCTTGCAGCTCAAGAAGGTGCGCCTGGCGGACGAGTACAAGCTCGCGCGCGTGCTCTCGCTCGTCGAGCTCGTCTCGAGTGATCTTGCGCACCAGATCACGACCGTTCTGCGCACGTACAACCTCATCCAAGTGTCTTACGAGCAGTTTGACGAGGTCGCCAAGCAGTGCCACGATCTCTTCTTGACGTGGCATCGCCAGCTGCACGCGTTCCAGGAGCTCGTCAAGGACCTCAGCAAGCGCCGCGGGACATCCAATTTTGACCGCGTGAGCTCGCTCGTCGATATGAGTTTGGAGCATCTCGCGATCGAAGAGCGCATGAAGGAGCTCCACGAGTTTCGCGAGCAGCACGAGAAGCTCCGCGTCGTCATTCAGCGTGTGCTCTCCAAGACGACGGACGGCTCGGAGGACATGCTCACGGACATCAACGCGGCCTATGCGCAAATCGGCGCTTTGGATGCCTTTGACGTCTCGGTCGACGGGTCGGAGTCGTGGAAGCAAGCGCGCAAGACGTACGAGGTGTGCATTGACCGCATCGAGGGCAGCATCATTGCGTCGCTCACGAACCGCCTCAACTCGACGTCGACCGCCGACGAGATGTTTCGCGTTTTCTCCAAGTACAACCCGCTGTTCTTCCGCCCGCGCATCCGCAGCGCCGTGCAGCAGTTCCAAATGCGCTTGATCGAAAACGTGAAAGAAGACGTGACGGAGCTCCAGGTCAAGTTCCGCGCCCACTACTCGTACTCGGAGGCGTCGCGCATGAGCAAGTTGCGCGACATTCCGCCGATCGCTGGCGCCGTCATGTGGTCCAAGCAGATTGAGCGCAAGCTGCACATGCTTCTGAGTCGCGTCGAGAGCGTGCTTGGAAAAGGCTGGGAGCAGCACGTCGAGGGCAAGGCGCTCAAGCAAGTCGCAGACGCATTCCTTTCCAAGCTCGACGCGCAGGCCATCTTTGATCACTGGGTGACCGAGCTTGTGAGCGTGCCGACGTTTGACGTGCGCAACATCATCCTCAACATCGTGGCCAAGCCGTCGTCGGCTGGTGAAGACGGCATTGAACGAGAAGTGTGCGTGGCATTCAACCACCAGATCGTGACGCTCTTCAAGGAGGTGCGCAACCTCGAGTGGCTCGGGTACCGCGTGCCGTTCACGCTCAAGATGATCGCCGAAGACGCCAAGGACAAGTACCCGCACGCCATGTCGCTCGACGCGAGCTTGAAGACGTACAGCAACGTGTGCAAGCGCATCAAGCCGGGCTTTGAGACGCTGAGCGCGTCGTATGTCCGTGAAGTGCGCACGACGATCGCCAAGACGTTTACAAAGGACAATGAGATTCGGTGGCACGCCGACCACCTCGGCGACTACGCGCTCGACTTGGCCGCCAAAGTCGAGACGCTCAGCGACAAGGTGGACGAGCTCTGGCGCAAGCAGACGGACATTGAAGCGTGTGTGAACGCACTCACGACCGCCGACGAGGCAACGTTTGGCGACTCGCTCCGTGACATTCAAAAGATCGTCGACGAGCTCAACCTCGCGGGCTACAACAACCTCCACGTGTACGTCAAGCAGCTCAACACGCGCATCGGCAATGTGCTGTGCGGCCGCTTGGAGTCGGCATTGCAGCAGTGGGTGCACGCGTTTACGACCGAGGCGCCGAGCGCGCTCGTGCCCGAAAAGGTCCACCAAGTGCTTTTGAAGAACCAGATTCTCGTGCTCGAGCCGTCGGTGGCGCAAGCTAAGGCCATGTGGCTGTACGAGCTCGAGACGATCGTGTCGGGCATCTGTCACCTCGACAAGATCCAGAGCTCGACGTACGATGCCTTCCAGCCACTCGTCTCGAACTCATCGCCGAGCCGGCGCCGCGCAAAGCGCAAGGAGAACTCGTTCCAAGACGTGCTCAAGATGCTGTCGCCGGGCTTGCTCCTCTCGTCGTACGACGTGTTGCACACGTGCTTGCATGCGATGGAGCAGTATGTGCTCACGTGGCTGCAGTACCAAGCGCTCTGGGACATGGAGGCGAGCCGTGTCATTGGCAAGATTGGCACCGACATTGGCCAGTGGCAGCAGCTGCTCGTCGAGATCAAGGACGAGCGCTCCAAGTTTGACACGGTCGTCAACACGAAGCGGTTTGGGCCGATGCTCGTCAACTTTCAGCAAGTCCAGGCCCAAGTTAACGTCAAGTACGACGCGTGGCACACGGAGTTCTTGTCGCACTTTGCAGAGATGCTCTCGTCGCAAGTCGCGGCCTTTTACACGGAGATCTCGGCCAAGCGGTCGCTTCTCGAGATGCACACGCTCGAAGCGGCAACGTCGCAGGTCGTCGCGACGGTGACCATGATCCAGGAGCTCCGCATGGCCAAGCCCGAGTGGGAGCTCTTGATTGAAGGCTTCCTTGCGGGCGAGAAGGTGCTCAAGCGCCAGCGCTTCAAGTTCCCGCCGTCGTGGCCCGAGCTCGCCAACGTCGAGGGTGAGTGGGCGGCGTTCCTCCAGCTGCTCCAGCGCAAGACGGATGCGATGGAAAGCCAGCTGCCGCAGCTCCAAGCCAAGATTATGGACGAGCACAACGTCCTGACCAAGAAGATTGAGGCGACTGTGACCGAGTGGGACGCGACCAAGCCGCTCCAGGGTGCTCAGCTTCCCCAAGCAGCATTGGACTTGATCCAGCTCTTTGACACCAAGCTGACGCTGCTGGCGCAAGATACCAAAAAGATGGAGGCAGCGCGGAAGGCGCTCAACCTTCTCTCGCGTGGCAATGTCTCGTCGAGCGACGCCGACTTGCTTGAACGTACGATGGAAGAGCTCGGTGGTCTGCGCGAAGTGTGGTCGTCGCTGGCGGCGACGTGGTCGCGCATGGAGGAGCTCAAGGAGTCGCCGTGGTCGGCGGTGCAGCCGCGCAAGCTCCGAAAGCAGCTCGACGAGCTTCTCGATGGTCTCAAGGCGCTGCCCGCGCGGGTGCAGCAGTACGAGGCGTTCGACTACTTTTTCCAGGCGATGCAGTCGTACAAGAGCACCAACAGTCTTTTGACGGACCTCAAGTCGGACGCGATTCGCGACCGGCACTGGAAGCAGATTCTGCGCCTCCTCAACATCAAGTCGTCCTTCTCGGAGCTGAGCTTGCGCAGCTTGTGGGACGCCAAGCTTGCGGCGCACGACAACACGCTCAAGAGCATCATCCGCACGGCGCAAGGCGAGATGGCGCTGGACGAGTTTCTGCGCCAAGTCGCCGAGCACTGGACGACGTATGCGCTGGATCTGGTCAACTACCAGAACCGGTGCCGCATCATCAAGGGCTGGGACGACATGTTCTCGAAGCTCGATGAGCACCTCAACAGTCTCCAGAGCATGAAGCAGAGCCCGTACTACCGTGTCTTTGCCGAGTCGGCCGAGAGCTGGGAAGAGAAGCTCACGCGCGTCCGGTCCATCTTTGACTTTTGGATTGACGTCCAGCGCCGGTGGGTGTACCTCGAGGGCATTTTCTTTGGCTCGGCCGACATCAAGCAGCAGCTGCCAAAGGAATACGCCCGCTTCCAGTCCGTCGACAACGAGTTTGTGTCGACGATGAAGCGCGTGACGCACAAGCCACTCATCCTCGAGGTCTCGAGCATCCCCAACTTGCTCCACACGCTCGAGCGCCAGCAAGACATGATGGGCAGCATCCAGCGTGCGCTCGGCGAGTACCTTGAGCGCCAGCGCGCTGCGTTTCCCCGCTTCTACTTTGTCGGCGACGAAGACTTGCTCGAAATGATTGGCAACAGCAAGGAGCCCAAGCAGATCCAGCGCCATCTCAACAAGATGTTTGCCGGTGTCGCGGCCCTCGAGATGAACGACGCGGGTGCGATCATCGGCCTTGTTTCCAAGGAAGGCGAGGTTGTCCGCCTCAAAACACCCGTGTTTCCGAGCGAGGACACGCGCATCAACGTCTGGCTCGCCAACGTCGAGAAGCAAATGCGATCAACGCTGGCGTCGCTGCTGGAAGAGGCGCTCGCAACGACTGGCGACTACCTCGCTTGGGTTGCGGCCTTTCCCGCCCAAATCGTACTTCTCGCGACGCAGGTGCAGTGGACGGAGCAGATTGAAGCTGTGCTTCGGAGCCGCAGCAACGACTTTAGCGCGGTTGTCACGGCCGTCGAAGGGCTTCTTCAGCTCCTCAGTGAGCGCGTTCTCTCGGATCTTGCCCAAGACGTCCGGAAGAAGTACGAGCAGCTGATTACGGAGCTTGTGCACCAGCGCGACGTGACGCGCCGCCTCAATAAGGCGCAGCTCACGGGCTCGGACGACTTTCGGTGGCTCTACCACATGCGCCACTACATGTACCCAAACGAAGTCGACCCGCTCAAGAAGCTGCGCATCTGCGTCGCGAACGCGTCGTTCTCGTACGGCTTCGAGTACCTCGGCGTGGGTGAGCGCCTCGTGCACACGCCACTTACGGAGCGCTGCTACCTGACGCTGACGCAGGCGCTCGACTTTGGTATGGGCGGCAACCCCTTCGGCCCCGCCGGCACGGGTAAGACCGAGTCGGTCAAGATGCTCGGCATGCAACTCGGGCGCTTCGTGCTCGTCTTCAATTGCGACGAGAACTTTGACTTTCAAGCCATGGGCCGCATCTTTGTCGGTCTCTGCCAAGTCGGCGCGTGGGGCTGCTTCGACGAATTCAACCGCCTTGAGGAGCGCGTGCTCTCGGCCGTGTCGCAGCAAATTCTGGCGATCCAAGGCGGTCTCATCCAGCGCAAGAAGACAGAGGCGACGTCGTCTGTCATTGAGCTCCTCGGCAAGTCGGTGCTCTTGCACCCGGACGTTGGCATCTTTGTGACGATGAACCCTGGCTACGCGGGGCGCTCGAACCTCCCGGACAATTTGAAGCAGCTCTTCCGCAGTATTGCGATGGTCGCGCCTGACCGCGAGCTCATTGCGCAGGTGATGCTCTTTTCGCAGGGCATCACGACGGCCGAGTACATGGCGGCCAAAGTCGTCCTCCTCTTCAATCTCTGCGAGGACCAGCTCTCCAAGCAGCCGCATTATGACTTTGGCTTGCGTGCGCTCAAGTCGGTGCTCGTCTCCGCGGGCCAGTTGAAGCGCAACTTGACTGCGACGTCGACCGCATCGATCGCCGACATTGAAGCCGAAGCGCTCATCCGGTCCGTGTGCGACACGGTCGTGCCCAAGCTCGTGGCGAGTGACGTGGCCATTTTTGAGACGTTGCTCCAAGGTGTCTTCCCCGGCACCGACGTGCACCGCGTCAACGAGCCCGAGCTGCGCGCGCAGATCGTGCAGATTGCCACGTCAAAGCACTTGGTGCCGCACGACAAGTGGGTCGAGAAGGCGCTGCAGCTCTACCAGGTGATGCAGCTCCGCCACGGTGTCATGCTCGTCGGTCCCAGCGGCATGGGCAAAACGACCGCGTGGAAGGTGCTACTCGAAGCGATGGAGCGCGTCGACGGCAAGAAGGGCGAGGCGTACGTTATCGACCCAAAGGCGATTTCGAAAGAGCAGCTCTACGGCACGCTCGACAACACGACGCTCGAATGGTCGGACGGTGTCTTTACGCACCTGCTGCGCCAAGTCCTCAACAACGTGCGTGGCGAGAGCGAGAAGCGCCACTGGATCCTCTTTGATGGCGACGTGGACCCTGAGTGGGCCGAGAACCTCAACTCGGTCTTGGACGACAACCGACTCTTGACGCTGCCATCGGGCGAGCGCCTTGAGATCCCGCCGAACGTCTGGATCATGATGGAGACGGAGACGCTCAAGTACGCGACGCTCGCGACCGTGAGTCGCTGCGGCATGGTGTGGTTTGCAACCGATACGCTCGAGACGTCGCACGTTGTGGACCACTTTTTGCAGTCGATTGCCAACGACAGCAGCCTGCGGACCACGTTTGCCATGCAGGACGACGAGTGGGCTCACTTTACGGCCGCGCGAGCCATCTTTTCCGAGACGTCGCGCGCGCTGTTTACGACGTCGCCGCTCGTGGTTCATTGCCTTGAGTTTGCTATGTCGCAGCCGCACATTATGGACGTCGACCGGCTCCGCTTGCTCATGAGCATGTTTTCGCTCTTGTCCAAGGGGCTCGTGCACATTGCCGAGTACAACGAGTCGCACAGCGACTTTCCGATGAACGAGGCGCATGTGCAAGCGTTCACGCCCAAGTGGCTCGTCTTCAGCATCATCTGGGGCTTTGGTGGCTCCATGGACATTGCGCACCGCGTGAAATTGGCCGAGTTCCTGAGCAGCATCAACACCAACGTGCCGCTTCCGACGCTCAGCACCGAGAACGCAAGCCTCCTCGACTTTGAGGTGCAGGTCAAGGACGGCGAGTGGGTCCCGTGGGTCTACTCGGTGCCGCAGCTGGAGCTCGAGAGCCACCGCGTGTTGTCGACCGATGTGGTCGTCACCACTGTCGACACGGTGCGTCACGTCGAGGTCCTCCGCGGTTGGCTCGCGCAGCACAAGCCGCTCATCCTCTGCGGTCCGCCGGGCTCGGGTAAGACGATGACGCTGACGTCGACGCTCAACTCGCTGCCCGAGTTTGAGCTCGCGAGTCTCAACTTTTCGTCGGGGACAACGCCCGAGCTCATTCTCAAGACGTTTGCGCAGTATTGTGTGTACAAGAAGACGCTCCAAGGCACGATCATGATGCCGCACGCACCCGGCAAGTGGCTCGTCGTGTTTTGCGACGAAATCAACTTGCCGCAAGCCGACAAGTACGGCACGCAGCGCGTCGTGACGTTTCTTCGTCAGCTCGTCGAGCAAGGCGGGTTCTGGAAGGAGAAGACGTGGGTGCACCTTGAGCGCATCCAGTTTGTGGGCGCTTGCAACCCGCCGACGGACCCCGGTCGTGTCCCGCTCTCGTCGCGGTTTCTGCGGCACGCGCCCGTGCTCTTTGTGGACTTTCCCGCGTACAACTCGCTCAAGCAGATTTACGGCACGTTCAACCGCGCGCTCCTCAAGCTCACGCCGAGCCTAAAAGCGTACCAAGTGCCCGTGACGGACGCGATGGTCGAAGTGTACAACAAGAACCAGACGCGCTTCACCGCCGAGATGCAGCCGCACTACATTTACTCGCCGCGTGAGCTCTCGCGCTGGATGCGCGCCATGTACGAGGCGATCGAGCCCCTCGAGTACGAGATCGACGTGGAGACGCTGGTCAAACTCCTCTTCCACGAGAGTCTCCGTCTCTTTATGGATCGCCTTGTGACGCCGGACGAGCGCGACTGGTGCTACGCAACGTCCAAGTCGGTGCTCCAGACGCACTTTCCCGGCCCGTCGCACGCGCTCGAGACGGGCGTCGGCGTCCACCACGAGCCGATTCGATTCAGCACGTGGCTCAGCAAGCACTACGTCCAAGCGACGACGTCGGAGCTGCGCAAGCACATTGAGGCGCGACTCCGTGTGTTTTACGAAGAGGAGCTCAACGTGCCGCTCGTGGTCTTCGACTCGGTCATTGACCACGTCTTGCGCATTGACCGTGTGCTGCGGCAGCCGCTCGGCCACTTGCTTCTCGTCGGCGAGAGTGGCGCCGGCAAGACGGTCCTCTCGCGCTTTGTGAGCTGGATGAACGGCATGTCGGTGTTCCAGATCAAACTCACAACCAACTACACGCTGGCCAACTTTGACGACGACCTCCGCGTCGTGCTCAAGCGCTGTGGCTGCGACGGCGAGCGCATTTGCTTCATCTTTGACGAAAGCAACGTGCTCGACGCGGCGTTCCTCGAGCGCATGAACGCGCTGCTCGCGTCCGGTGAAGTGCCCGGTCTCTTTGAGGATGACGAGCACACGTCGCTCATGCACGCATGTCGCGAGGCAATCCGACGCGACAACGTCACGATCGAGAACACGGACGACGAGCTCTTCAAGTACTTTACCAAGCAAGTGCAGCGCAACATGCACGTGGTATTTACGATGAACCCGGCGGCCGGCGACTTTCAGAACCGCAGCAAGACGTCGCCCGCGCTCTTCAACCGCTGCGTCGTCGACTGGTTTGGCACGTGGTCGGACCACGCGCTCGCGCAGGTTGCGTCCGAGTTTACGCTCCCGCTCGACTTTGAAGAGACCGACTATGTCATGCCCGGTGAAGCACGCGCGTTCTTGGACGCGCTGACGCCCAACTTGGCCTACACGTTCCACGACGCGGTCGTCGGCAGCATCGTCCAGTTCCACCACGCGGTGCTGGAGCTCATGCACCGCCTCGCCAAGCGCCACGCCAAGGCCAACCACATTTCGCCGCGCGACTACCTCGAGTTTATCCGGCACTTTGTGACGCTGTACGGCAAGAAGCGCGGTCAGCTCGAAGAGCAGCAGCTGCATCTCAACGTCGGTGTCGAGAAGATTGTGGCCACACACAACCAAGTCGCAGAGCTTCAGGCGCAGCTCGGCGCCAAGGAGAAGGAGCTCCAGCGCAAGGACGTGGAAGCCAACGAGAAGCTGCAGCTCATGGTTGTCGAGCAGAATGAGGCGCAGAAGAAGAAGAAGGAGACGGAGAGCCTCGCGGCCGACCTCACCAAGCAAGACGATGAGATCCGATCGCGCAAGGTCGTCGTCGAGCACGACCTCGCGCAGGCCGAACCGGCGTTGATCGAAGCGCAGTCGTCGGTCAACTCGATCCGCAAGACGCAGCTCGATGAGATTCGTGCGCTCGCGCGGCCGCCCAACGCCGTGCGTCTGACGCTGGAAGCCGTCGCGATCATGCTTGGCGAGTCGGCGCTCGACTGGGCCGATTTGCGCAAGTTTATCCGCAAGGACGACTTTATCGCGTCTGTTGTCAACTTCGACTCGGAGAAGCTCACGGCCAAGCAGCGCGCGGTCATCAACGGCAACTACCTCTCCAAGACGGACGAGTTTGACTACGAAAAGGTCAACCGTGCCTCCAAGGCGTGCGGTCCGCTCTTCAAGTGGGTCGTGTCGCAGATCAACTACACGGAGATTCTGCATCGCATCCAGCCGCTGCGGAACGAAGTCCAGACGCTCGAAGACCAGAGTGCGGGTCTGCGTCAAGAGTACACGGAGGCCACCGCCATGATTGCGCAGCTCGAGACGCGCATCCAGAGCTACAAGCAAGAGTACGCAGCGCTCATTTCCGAGGCGCAGCTCATCTCGAGCGACATGGCGACGGTCAAGAAGAAGGTCGAGCGCTCCGTGGCGCTGCTCGAGAACCTTTTGAGCGAGCGCGAGCGCTGGGAGGCCGGCTCCAAGGAGTTTGAGACGCAGATGAAGACACTCGTCGGCGACACACTTCTCAGCGCGGGCTTTCTCACGTACCTTGGGTTCCTCGACCACCAACAGCGCAAGCTGCTCGTCGAGGACTGGCGCGACATTCTCGTCTCGATGCGCGTGCCGACGACGGACGGGCTCAGCTTTGTCGAGTACCTCTCGGCGCCGGCCGACCGCCTCTTGTGGGCCGCGTCGGATCTGCCGTCGGACACGCTCTGCGTCGAGAATGCGATTGTGCTCGCGCGCTTCCATCGCTTCCCGCTCATCATTGACCCGTCGGGGCAAGCCGCGAGCTTTATGATCAACCTCTTCAACAGCAACCCCGCGACCAAGATCTCGCAAACGTCGTTTTTGGACGCGTCGTTCATGAAGGTGCTCGCGAGTGCGATCCGGTTTGGTACGGCGCTCCTCGTGCACGACGTCGAGAACATTGACCCGATTTTGAACCCCGTGCTCAACCGCGAGCTGTACAAGACGGGTGGCCGCGTCTTGATTCGCCTCGCGGGCGAAGAGATCGACTACTCGCCCGACTTTCGACTGTTTCTGATCACGCGGGACCCGAGCTGCCGCTTCTCGCCCGACATTTGCTCGCGCGTGACGTTTGTCAACTTTACCGTCACGCCGAGCTCGCTCGAGTCGCAGGCGCTTGCGCTGCTGCTCAAAAGCGAGGAGCCCGAGATTGACGCGAAGCGCTCGTCGCTCCTCAAGCTCCAGGGCGAGTACAACGCGAAGCTCCGGCAGCTCGAGGACGCGCTTTTGCAGCAGATCAATAGCGTCCAGGGCAACATTCTCGACGACGACCGCGTCATCAACACGCTTGAGAGCATGAAGGCCGAGGCCGCCGACATCACGGCGCACGTGGCCGACACGCACGTGACGATGGCCAACATTGAGCTCGCGACCAACAAGTTCAAGCCCCTCGCGCACGCGTGCACGCAGCTCTTTTTCACGCTCGAGAACCTCGGGTCGGTGCACTTTTTGTACCAGTACTCGCTCGCGTTCTTTCTCAAGATGCTCACGAGCGTGCTCACGTCGACATCGTCCGACCCGGACGGGCGACTGGCCTTCGTGAGCAATGCGCTCTTTGCGCAGATGGTGCGCCGCGTCGCCAAGGGCCTCCTCGAGGACGACAAGCTCATGTTTGCGTTGCGCGTCGCCCAAGTGTACTTGGAGCTGCAGCACCACCAAGCAGGCGCCGACGTGCCGAGCCAAGCCGAGTGGGACGTCTTCTTCCAGCGGTTTGGCGGGGCCAAAGCCGTACCCGCGCTCGCGGCGGTCGCGCACGACGTGCGGGATCGCGTCGGAAAGTTGCTTGGCGCTGCATCGTTTGCGGCGAACGCAGCGCATCTCGAGGCCAACCAAGACGAATGGGCTTCGTTCCTTAGCCACGCGGCGCCCGAGACGGTCGTCCCGACGGGTTGGGATGCGGGCGTGACGTCGCCGTACCGGGCGGCGTTCCGGACGATGGCGCTCGTGGCCGTCGCACGCCCCGACCGGTTCCCGTTTGCTGTGGAAGCGTTCTTGGTGGCCGTCTTTGGTGCGGACTTTCCGTGGCGCGGCCAGGTCGAGTTTGCGGACCAAGTCGCGCACGAGACGGAGGCGACGCGGGGCATCCTCCTCTGCTCCAAGACGGGCTTTGACGCGAGCGGACGCGTCGACGAACTCGCGGCGACGCTCCAGAAGCGGTTTGCGTCGGTCGCGATGGGCTCGGCTGAGGGCTACGATGCGGCCGAGAAGGCGCTCAACACGGCCATCAAGCAAGGCACGTGGCTCTTGCTGCGCAACGTGCACTTGTGCCCGTCGTGGCTGCTCACGGTCGAGAAAAAGCTCTACTCGGTGCGCGACTCGTGCCACAAGGAGTTTCGCCTCTTCCTCACGTCCGAGATTCATCCGCAGCTGCCGCTCAACCTGCTTCGGCTCTGCGACATTTTTGTGTTTGAACCGCCGAACGGCGTCAAGGCGAGCATGCTCCGCACGTTCTTGGACGTGCCGGCCGACCGCGTGAACCGCGCGCCGACCGAGCGCGGGCGGCTCTTCCTTCTCCTCTCGTGGTTCCACGCTGTGCTCCAAGAGCGACTGCGCTACGTCCCGATCGGGTGGTCGAAAGCATATGAGTTTAGCCAAAGCGACTTCAAGGGCGCGTGCGATGTCATGGACACGTGGGTCGACAGCATTGGGCGTGGCCGCGCGCACATCTCGCCCGACGCGATTCCGTGGACCGCCATCAAGGTCATTCTCAAGGAGTCGCTGTACGGCGGTCGCGTCGACAACAAGTTTGACCAAGCCTTGCTGGATACGCTCCTCGACACGATCTTCTGCGCCGAGAGCTACGAAAGCACGTTTGCGCTCGTCGACGGCGTCATCGTCTCGTCCGGGAAGACAAAGGAGCAGTTTGCCGACTGGATCCACGCGCTCCCGAACGCCAACTCGCCCCAGTGGTTGGGCCTTCCGAGCTCAGCGGAGAGCATGCTCTTGACCAACCAAGGCGCACGCACGCTGCGACACCTCGCGCTCATGCAAGACAGCCTCGGCATGGACGATGGCCTCGAGACGGACGATGTCGCCATGACGTTTGGCAACGCCGGCGATGCACGCCCGGCGTGGATCCAGGCGCTCGCGCACAGCGTCGCTACGTGGCGTGCGCTTTTGCCGGCGTCGGCCATCACGTCGACACAGGCCGCGTTTAGCAACCCGGTGTTCCGGTGCCTCCACCGCGAGATCGAAGTCGCCAACGCCCTCCTCGACAGCGTCACGTCGCTGCTCTCGGACATTGCTGCAGTCTGCACCAACACGCTCAAGCCGTCCAATGCGACCCGCGATGCGATGCAGGCGCTGCACAAGGGCGTGCTGCCGACCGACTGGCTCGGCGCCTACGTTGTACCGCAGGACATTTCGCTTCTCGAGTGGCTTGACGATTTTGCGCGCCGTCTGAATCAGCTCCAAACGTTGTCCCAGCTGCCGATCGAAGACGTGCTGCACGGCGGCGTCTGGCTTGGCGGCTTCTTCTCGCCCGAGGCCTTTTTGACAGCGACGCGCCAAGTGATTGCCGCCGAGCTCCATTGCTCGCTCGACGAACTCGACGTGGTCGTGACGCTGACGAACGAGCATACCGGCGGCTTTCCCGTACGCGGTCTGCACCTCGAAGGCATGGACTGGACGCCCGAGACTGGGTTTCAAGTGACGGACGCGCTGCACTCGACGCTGCCATCGTGCTACTTGAGCTGGCGCCCGGTCAAGGAGATGGACCCGACGCAGCTCCGGAAGCTCCCCGTGTACCTCAACACGCACCGGCTCGTGATCCTCTTTGAAGTCGCGATCCAAGTCGACCAGAAGCAGTTTGGCCACCTCTGGACCGAGCGCGCGGTTGCCTTTACGGCGTGGCACCTCGAGCAGGCGTAAACCGTAATACACTGGACTGCATGTTAACTTGTGTGCGTTGAGATCTGCTATGCTCCAAGCGGAAGGTAGACAACGCCAAATGACATTCTACATTTGTATCAGACCCAAAGCCGCACCAGACCAGTTCTGTCGTTTCCAGTCGCGGTCTAGATTCCTCTGTCAGAACGAGTTGGCCCCGAGTTTGGCATATCCCGAGCTGGTGATTTTGTCGCCATTTTGGCTTTGAGGAGACGGCTGACTGGCTCAAGCGAATGGCCTGGAGCTCACCAAGAATCTACCGCAGCAGCAAGCACGTTTAACGCGCCTTCACGGAAGGACGGCGTTCGTTTACCTGAGGGCATCTCAGGTGCATGGGCCATGTTAGATTGTACTAGTACCTCGTATAACCCATTTAACCTTATTTAGAAAAGCGTATAATCCATTCATGCGTCTAACACTTTCCAATGGATGGTTATAACATTATAGCGTTTCCGTTCCAAAGGACAGAAGACGCGGAGGAACATGGCGAAGCACGGCTTCCTCACGCCCAAGGCCATCGACAACCGGCAAAAGGTAGCGCAAGATGCGACCTTGTCCTCTTCCTCTTCATCGTCGTGCGTATGCTTATGGTCGTCATGCGGTGCTTAGTCCAAGGGCCTCCAGAAGCTGCGATGGTACTGCCAGGTGTGCTCGAAGCAGTGCCGAGATGAGAACGGCTTCAAGCAGCACATGACGAGCGACGCGCATCAGCGCCAGATGCTCATCGTCGCAAGCAACCCGAACAAGTTCATCCAGGGCTACAGCGAGCTCTTCGAGGCTGCGTTCATGGCGAACCTCCGCCAGCGCCATACGACCAAGCGCGTCCGCGCCCACGTCGTTTACAACGAGTACATTCGCGACAAGAACCATATCCACATGAACGCGACGCGCTGGACGACCCTCAGTGGCTTCGTGCAGTACCTCGGCAAGACGGGCAAGTGCATCGTCGACGAGACCGAGAAGGGCTGGTACATCCAATACATTGACCGGGACCCTGCTGCCATGGCACGCCAAGAGGAGCTGCAGCGCAAGCACAAGGCCGAGATGGACCACGAAGAGCGCAACCGGCGCTTCATCCAAGCTCAGGTCGAAGAAGCGCGGGCCAAGCTCGGCCCTGTCGACAAAGAAGAGACGGTTGAAGCCAAGGCGTGGAACCCGAACGAGAAGGTCTCGCTCTCGCTCGCACCCTCGGCCAAGAAGACAACGGCAGCTGCACCTGTCAGCGTGAAGCGGTCTGCAGCCGTCGCTTTTGGCGTCGACGACGACGCCGACAAGCACGACAGCGCGACGAAGCGACCAGCGACGACGCATGCCACGCAAGGTGGCGCGACGAGCCAGAAGCGGTCGGCCATGGACGCCATCATGGCCGAAGAAGCCCGTCAACGCCAGCGCCGGGATGCGGACGAAGCGCGCACCAGCCGCAAGGACCACTGGGTCGCCAAGGACATTGTTGTCAAGATCGTAGACAAGAAAGTGGGCGATGGCGCGTACGTCTTTGGCCGTGTCGTCATGGGGCCATCTCACTCCATGATCTCTGTAGCTACTACAAGAAGAAGGGCACTGTGCTCAAGGTCATTGAGCTCTTTGGCGCTGACATCAAGGTCCACGACTCGGGCGACATTGTCCGCGTCGACCAGGTACACTGCACCATGCGATGCATCTCTCACCGTCCAATCCAGGATGACTTGGAAACCGTGATTCCGCTCGCGGGCAAGCCCGTCAAGATCGTCAACGGTCTCGGGCGCGGCCACCTCGGCACGCTTGTGTCCATCAACGAAGAAGCGTTTGCTGTCTCGGTGCTCGTAGCGACCGGCCCCCACAAGTAGATGCCACCAATGTCGGCGGCGTCACCTCATGATCCCTGCTATTCTGTAGGGGCCGGACGCTCGACAAGGTCGAGTACGAAGACGTGTGCAAGATGGACGAAGCGCGCGTCGATCCCGATAGTTTCTAGTCGACCAGATGACAGCAAACGTACAGTGGCAACTTGATGGCCTTATCATTCGTCCGTCTTTTCGTTTTCGTCGTCCGACGCTGACGGCGGCGGCGTGCCCACGTTGGCGGCGTCCTTCACGTGGCGCGACCGCTGCTTGGACTCCTTCTCGTACGCAACGTCGTCGTCGTCCTTGTCCTTGTCCTTGTCGTCGACGTCGGCGTCGTCGGGGGCGGCATCGGCCGCCGCCTCTTCCTTGTGCATGCACTGAAGGTCTCGGATCGCGCGCATGAGGAGCGCAAAATCCTTGGCGCGCCGCTCGACGCGGTCCGAGACGCTCGTCAGCGCGTCCGTCGACTGCCGCAGCTGGTCTTCGAGGCCCTCGATGACCGCTTCGCTCGCGGCCTTGGACGGCAGCTTGTTGATGTCCCGCGCCTTGGCCTCGTACTCTTCCTTGTAGCTCCGGATGAGCTTTTCATCTGCAACGATGCCCTTGAGGCGGTCAATGTCCTGCGTCACGGCCAACACGCTCTGGTCAATCTCCGCATGCAGCGCGTTGTACGCCGAGAGCTCTTGGTCGCACGTGTGCATGAGCAGCTCGCACTTGACCGCGTCGGCCTCGACGAGCTCGAGGTCCCAAAGGAACTCGTCGAGGAGCTTCTTGGCGATGCTGGCGTCCGTGCGCGGCTTCTTGGCCGGCGTCCGCGTAAAGTGGCTGTAGTGCACGCCGAGGCTGCCCGTGACGCCGAGGAACTTGAGCATCGACTCGGCCGTGCGCTTCGTGCCATGCTTGCTGCCGAGGACGCTGGACCGCGTCAAGAGGCGCTGCCGGATCACTTCCTCTACGCGACCGTCATCAGGCTTCGACGAGTCCATGGAGCCCTCGTACCCTCGTCCATCCTTGCGGTACGTTTTGTTGGGCAGGGCTGGTTTCGGACTTGTCCGAATTTCGTGCCCAATTCACAAAACTAGGACGATGCGCCGAAATCAAACTCAAGCTCAACTTGCGAATTCGGGCTGAATTGAGAATGGCAGTCGACACGATCCGACAACGCGCACCGCCAACAAGCTCATAAGCCGCCACGCCTACCACTGTCGATGGACGCCGCGCGACCGACGACGTACGTTGGTCAGAAGCTCTAACCAAGCCAGTGCGATGGGGAAACATCAACAATGTTTTTACCACTTCGACACCCTTCGCTTGTAAAACCATCTCAGCAAATTGCTTGTTTACAAGATTCTCGGGTCGAGCGCCGCAGTCCGAGTCCAAAATTGGCTGTTGACATTGGCCCAGGTCGCTGGTGATGCCGTGAGGCAACTGCGGCCGAATCGGCTGCTCGCCCGAGGTCTCGTCTTGTCGTGTGTATAGGGATCCAGGCAAAGGTAAATAGCACGCTCCAGCGCTTCGTTGCGATGAAGCTCCGATTGGTCGCTGCCATTGACAGCAAGGTGACGGCGGCCATGAGCGAGCTTCAAGACAAGGTGCTCGCCGCGATGCACCAGCAAGACGCCGCGATCAACGCCAGCGTCGACAAGCTGTGTTCGACGCTCCCAAACGAATTCCGCAGCTTGCACCAAGGCCAACTTTCGCTCGCCGAGCATGTGACGACGGAGCGCGTCGCGATGGCCGCGACAATGCAAATGGGACGTGTGATGTATCTATCTACTTTTGCCACTAACGACCCACGTGATTCGTAGAAGGAGATCCAAGAACCGATTATTTCGGCGTCCGACGTCCGGCTCACAGAAGCAATGCTCGATGCTCGACGGCAAGCCGGCGCCCAAGGCGTTTCGGGGCGCGGTGTACGTGTACATCATGGACCGCTTTGTCAAGAAGCCGATTCTGTAGGACCCTCCGGAATCTACCCGTCTGCGCTGGCGGCGGGGTCGTGGGTCGACGCGTGGCGCGTGCGCGTCGGCAGCACGATGCAAAGGTGCCTTCCCATTGCGTCGTTTGCGATGGCTGCGACCATCACAGGACAGGACTCGTCAAGGAAGGCGTCGTGTCGGCCGCCTCGGCGGTTGTGATCTCGGTCGAGACCCTGTCTAGCTGGATCATGCCGGCGCCCTCTGCCCAAGACGCTCAAGATGGCCTCCGCATAGCATCCTCGACATGCACGTCACCGAGTCGCACTGAGTACGCTTCGGGTCGCACATGTTGAGGATGTAGGCAATTCGAGGGCCATCTCGAGCATCTTGGGAAGGGCGCCAGCGTTATCCAGCTGGACATGGTCTCGACCGAGTCCCGTGAAGGTCACCGCCGTCGCAAGGCGCTCATGACGGCCACCGTCCGCAACTACGTCCACCTCGCGCACATTAACTTCCGATAATCGCGGTATATGTATGTTTATGATGAGTCTTCGTGTTGCATATGGCACCTCGCACAACTTGGGCAGGCGAGTCGTATGAGTGCAGCAATTTCAGAGGTACATGCAGAAAGCATCACTGCATCGCACACCACAACGATCGTCCCTTTGTCCGCGTAGCAGTACGTATGGGATGGCAGACTACAGTTTGTATTCTGGGAGCTGCACGGGCTCATGAGCTGCAATCTCAGTGCTGAATCAAGAAATTTTGGTTGCAAAAGCAGCTTACTAATATATCTATGGACATCGACAGCCTCTTGCACACCATTCCACCGCGCCTGACGCGGAAAAGCGCCACCGCAGCGTGGCGGCGCCGTGGTCATCATCAAAGGGTACGCTTCCTCTTGGTCGGTGTGCGCACCAGTGTGCTGACGCTAACGTTTGATCGATCTGTGACGCGGCTCTTCTCGTGCTTGGGCACGTATCGGCGCGCTTGGACTGGTGCCGGTGCTAGAGCGATGGGCATACATTGTACATCGCTGAGACACAACTTGGTGCTGGGCAACGTGCAGCAGTACGAGCTGTCATTGTTGCTTTACATGCACAAGTTGATGCGACAGAATGTACGAATTCCTTGTTCCATGGCTCTCACGTGCCACAAGCGTCGTAGGGCGACGACAGAAGAGCCAGACGAGCCCCCGCGCCGCCGCCTGCGCAGCCACGGACCGGCGAGCGAATGAAGAAGAAGGAGATTGCTAGTCTATCGTATGCGAAGTCTTTGTGTAACTATGAAGATAACGCGAAACACGTTCATATATATATGGCTCTCACGTGGTGTGACTGAACGGTTGACCACATGGCGGCTCCGTTTGCCACTCGTGCCATACGTGGACACGGGAAAGGATGCGAAAGTGGTAAACGCATTGTTGATGTTTCTCCATCGCACTGGCTTGGATGCCCCTCCCAACGGTGTTTTTTGTTGCTCTCCAGTACAAGCCAACGTATCGATGTCCCATCTCTGAACGACGAGTTGTATCACGACACCACGTCGAGTTTTACTACTGCTCCGTCTGCGCTGTGTCGGTGTGCGTCAAGTGCGAGATAGTCGGTGACCATTCGTGCGGCGAGAAGGGGCTCCAACGCCTCATCAGTATCCCGGACGCGTACGAGCAGAGCTTGAAAGACCGTCGTACGAAGGCGTCAAGCCCGACCTTCAGCTCGTAGGCCGCCTCACGTCGACGCGCTCGACGTCGGCCTCGTCTTGTCACCGAGAGGCAAAACGTCATTGAAGATGGCCGGAAAGATCGCCAATGCGCATCCTCCATCGTGACGTGGCGCCACCAAAAGCCGGACATCCTGCGTGGCATCTCGGTGAACCAGCGAAAGGTCTCAAATCCGCACGTCGTGTCGGCGCGCCATGAGATTTGGACGACCAAGTTGCGCCAGGAAATGGCCCAGCCGCATCTGCCACCGCCACCGACTAGTACGTGAGGTCGTACGTCACAGTTGTCATTCCAGAGCGAGATGAGCCGGAGCGACAGGTCCCAACTGGATGCCAACTTGTTGTGCTGTACTCCGAGATAGCGAGCGAGCAAGCAAGCGAACTTCAACACGATCCAACGAGATGTACGACAATAGGAGGCGGCTAGTCCTCAATAAGTCAAGCGTGTTGGATACAAAGCGAGTGCTGAAGTGAGCCCCTATGACTCAGTCTACTGACGACGGGCAGGGAATGGCTGCAGACCACTTCCTTACAAAGCCCATACTACTAGATCCAGAACATTCCGCCGTGGGGTCGGCTATGGAACTTTTAGCATGTAGATTCAAAAAGGATCTTCAACGACATGATCTACCTCTAGGCTTAGGATACAGCCGCCTAGGTTCCCTGAACCTGAGCTATACGAGTGGGCTTTTCATGCAGTCCGCAAGTTCAGCAAGCCGGTTCAACATGCACGCGAGCAGGATCTTTTCCGAGTATGCAGTGTGTGTAGAGGTCACGGATATCGTTGCGAACTCTACGTACGCACTGGATGGTAGTATCTCTC